AAGAATTCAAAAGGACCGACTTTCCATGTTCCTGTTTCTTTTTCCACAGCAATAACGGAAATAAACTTCAGAAATATTTCTCTTTTAATCGGGAATTCTTCCTTGTTAATGCCACCGCGATCATAATTTGCTTGATATTCCTTATTTTTGTTCAAAAATTTCGACGGAATGAAAAAGGTATAACAAGGATATCCAGGTGTTGAAATCTCGAGATGGTTTCTTTCACTACTTTGTCTGTAGCAAAACCTTTTTCTCCCCTGAAATTTAATTCCGTATTGCAATTAAAAACATCAATTATTTTTTTATCTGTCTTTGCTGTCCACATAACTAAACTCTATGAAATAATGTTTCATGCTAAAAATGCCACTTCGGACATTCCGAACTGGAGGACCTTCCTAGGGTAAAATGGTTCGTATACATGTTATACATGGAGAAAACCATGCAGTTAGCCCATTCGCCTGGAATTGAATCCAGGTGAAAAATACCAGCGCTCAGCGAATTTACCGATCGGCTGCTGGTTGGGTCCCATTAGCCAAGTGATTCTGCAATAAGGACTACGGAAAGAAAGGTCCTTAAGTGAAACGTATAGGAGGGCCTTCGCTGATCATCAACCATATAAGGATATATAACGAACACAAAAACAACAATTCCCTCACCTCGCCATCTAGACCTAAACAAAAATCAACGAAATCACTAGTGTTTGTTGTCTACCGATATGGCATTTCCAGAAGGTACTGTCCAGTGAGAAGCAGCATTCATCAAAATACGTGTCTATATCTATGTGGGTCTTTTTTCTGGCGTTAAAAAAGGAAAAAAAGTATATTTCTTGTTGAATGCTGCAGTCTTCAGTTAATAGAGTCTTTAACTAGGGACCACAATTGAAAATATTTTATTCTACACTGTGGGTATTTTATTGTCATCTTAAAAAGACTGTAAGAATCTGTCGTGAATCTGAAAAAATGCGTAAGCTTTCCTCGTCTTCTTTCAATTGCTAAACGGAAAATATATTGTAAATACGTTATACTACTGCTGATCAAAAATTATGCAGTAGACGCCGATTATTAGGATCGCGGTTAATGTTATCCTTCGGATATTGTTAACGAATTCCGGAAATTCCGGCCATTTGTATATGAAAACATGGAAAATACGTCGCTTATTGTGATCAACAGTTCAGTTGGTGTTATCAAAATATTATTCAATGAATATTTCAAACCAAAATAAATTCTCCTACGTATAATATAGGAAATAAATTCCTACGTATGATATCAATAGAGGCTGAAATGGCACGATTTTCTATAAAAGCCCCAATTGGGAAAGCCTGAAACGGAACACATCACCAAGCTGCAGGTAGCCTGTCTACCATCTACAGTATTTATTTCGCTTTGGCCGTGTGAAAGGAGACAAAATATTAATAGTACTTATAACGCACTGAGAAAACATTTTCATTATCGCTTAAAGAAACATAATTGTGTTTCATACCTGTTATTCCCTGTTACTATCGGTACCACTAAAGTAATCACCTGCACCATTTGTATACGTATCGGTGGTACCTGTATACCACAGCATGCTATCCTCATAGCCGTCTGAAGCATTCACCAACATCTTACGTTCTTACCTTATAGATCGACAATTTATTGTTCGTGTTAACAACACAATATCCACCCCAGACCTACCCAGGCTGGGGTTCCCCAGGGATCCCTTCTCGGGCCTCTTTTATTCAATCTTCACACGAACGACATCCCACAGACACCATACACACTCGCACTCTGTGCAGATGACACTGCGATTCTTTCACAAAGTGCATCTTTTAACTCAGTCATCATTACAACACTACAAAACCATATTCATGCACTGGAATCCTGGCTAATGGCCTGGAACATACAAATTAATGTACAAAAATCGGATGTCATACTGTTCACCTTTCCTTTTTTTGGTTTTTTTTTTTTTTTATTTATTTATTTTTTATTTTTTTTGTTATTTATTTATTTTTTTAAATTTTTTATTTAGGGTGAAACGGCCAGCCAAATATCAGGAAAGCTATCCGGCATTGTATGAGTTTCGCAAGGGTAGTATCGCAACAGTTGCAACGAAAAACGTTTGCGATGTTTACCTACATACGTGCATTAGACGTTCGTAAATGCCAAAAGATGGTTTTTCTAAGTTCAGATCCGGTAATTTTGATCGATCAAGAAGACCAACAACATTAGACAAATCCATTTCAAACAATCGAGTAACTGTCAAACATCCTTAAACAACCTTTGTCGACCATCCAAAAACATTTAAAGCAGATTAGAAAAATAAGCAGAGCAGGTGTTTTGGTCCCTCATAATATGTCGTATTGCATAATAGACACATTGCTTCAACGGCACCATACAGAACCATTTTTTTTTTTTTTTTGATCGTTTGATTACTGGAGACCAAAAATGGGTCCTATACGATAATCGAAAAGTCAAAAGGCAGTTTTAATAGGGGTTACAAACGGTTTACATCCCAAAAAGGCGCTCCTCTGTGTTTGGTGGAGTATTCGCGGAATTGTTCATTTTGAATTGCTGTAACCTAGACAAACTGTTAATGCAGACCTTTATTGTGAACAATTGAGCCAATCTCTAATTGGCGATTTAATCTTTTTATTCGGCGAATGTCAACAGAAAAGGCGTCATTCTGCAACACGACAATGCGAGACTAACACTGGAAAAAAATAATGAATTGGGGTGGAAGGTACTGCCTCACCCACCATACTCGACTGATATCGCACCTTCGGATTTCCATTTATTCCGATCCCTACAACATTTTTCTTAGTGGCAAAAAAATTTGAAAAGTTGGATGATGTCCAAAATGCCATCTCGAGATATTTTACTCAAAAACTAATTGATGGCAAGAGGTTGTTTGATAACGAGGGTGATTATGTTATTGATTAAAAATAAAAACTTGTTAAAATTTTATTCGTTTGAATTTAATGTAAGAAAGCGACATTACTTTCCGATCCCCCTATTATCTTTAAAACTAACATCAAAACAGTTCGCAGAATGCGAATCATAAATTTAGATCGTAATAATAAGGCTTATAACATCTTATCGATTATATTATTGGAATCTTAAAATTTACAGTTTTAAGCAGATCAGAATAACATCCTACTTGTTTTACAATATAAATTTTAAAACTTAGGATTCCATTTTAAATGGCTTCACAAATCGTTGCCATTTGCAGCTTCAAAACAAAGAATAATTAAAAGAAATATATTAATACATTTCAGAGTTTTCAAATAGAATTAAAATTTTTTTATGTTAGCAGTTCAAATAAACTTTGTAAAAAAAACATGCAAGAGCCAAAAGTCTGGAACCATTTTTTACAGCTCCAGTAACAATTTTTACAAGTGAAGATATCCGAAGCAAATCCAGATACTACATTCATCAATTTATACCCCAAATTATCAATACAAGAATAGCGTAGAATAGCGAATGTAAAAGAAAGTATGGCAACACTCTGTCAAAGTGAACTATGATCAGCTGACTGCGTCACGGTACACACAGTTTGTTCTCTTCGTCTTTGCTAATATAAGATATTTCAGTTTTTTAAATACGCAGAAATGGATCTAGGATCTAGAATCGTATCTTTTCTTCTGGCATCAACTTCTAGGAGTTCTAACCAGTAGTTAAACATTTTACCAAATGCCCTTAGTAATCATAATAAAATAAGAGGTGTATTGAAAAATACACCATACCCGAAGGCGAGGTCGAAGTCATGAGATAAACTCAGAAAATAGTAATTTTTAAATGCAATTAAATGGCATGTCATTAGCAGTGGTCAGTGCAAAATAAGTCCTAAGTTTCATAAAATTGCTGAATAAAACGTAAAATAAGACTGCAGAAGTTCAAAAAGGCGAATTTTGAAGAGATAATAATGTCCTTATTCTTCAGAAACACAATTCGGGTACAGTACAATTAATTAATCATGCAAGAAAATTTATTTTTCTTAAAGTTGCAGAGTAACACCACGTGATGCGAGATGGCCAGTAGCGAGTGAAGGAGTCATAAGACCGCGAAGTTAAATTTTTCACTGTAAGCAAAGTCTTTGCTATAAAACACTACACAGTACTAAATAAATTCTTGGTTAAATAGAAATAATTAGTAAAATAAGTAAGTAATATAAGTTGCAATCAAAGTCCATAAGCTTTGTCAGAGCATAGTCCAAAACATAAGCAAAACTTGATTAAGTGAAGAGTATTAAAATACGTGAAATAAGTAATATAATATATATGCTGTTACACTACTACCACCATAATGCATTATGATGGATAGTTCGCGGGTTTTTTTACTACATGTTCCTCTGTGGGATCATAGTTTGTGAGTTCTTTAATAGCCGGGTATTGCGAGTTTTTCATTTTTTCAAAGAAGTTGTGTGCAGTAGTTAGTATCTGATCGTAAATCGGCAGAATCTTTAAATCCTTATGAATTTGCGCGTTACGCACAAACCAAGGTGCTTTGGTAATGCTCCAGAAATGGAGAAACTGATATATATATGTTTCTCATCGCTACTTTCCCCTTTTTTTTTTTTTTTTTTTTTTTTTTAAAGCGCAAAGGACATGAAACTCCTTAACAGTTATTACAATTGATTTAATATAATAACTTAATATAGTAGCAAAATATTCTACAGGAAAAATTTTAAAAAAAACAGCCGAAAAGAAAAGAACATCCTTCCCCCCCCCCCGAAATAATGTCTAAACGTCGACATTAGTCCATCTCCTCGGAATAAACTCCGAACAGGTGCGTTGGAGGAATCTACGCTTCGACAATTTTCCACCGACCAGGTGTCACGCCACCCGGGTCACCCCCAAGACGGGGGGGAGGAAAAGCGAATTTTTTTCTCTTTGTTTACTTATTTACAGCGACAGGAACGAGCGGTTCGGTCGCCGACGAGAAGGAACTCGCTAATTAAGTCTGCGGGGGGACGGGTGCAGCAGCAAGGGAAGAGAGTCGAAAAAGTCAAAGCTCACCACTAGTGGAGTGGCCATCGGATGTGAGTCTTCCTTCATTCGCTGTTTCTGTCTGTCGCTGCTGTCGTTGGCTAGGATTCGCGCGGCACGTGTGGGGTTCTTTGGCGGCGTGTTCTTTTCTTTTCTTCGGATAATCGAAAGGATTTGTGATTCTACATATTTGATTCTTTTCACCCCTCTCCGGAATCGTCGGGTTCGCCGACGAATATGGGATTGTTGACGGGCGTGAGATTTTATCCTGGCAGAGGTGAGAGTTGTTTTTTTTTAACATTTTTTTTTTTTTAAACTTGTTGCTGTTCCTTTAGTTTCGGTTTTAAATAAATCGCTGAAGACAATCTTGACTCGTTGTATGCTTTCACTAAAAAGAATTAATGCAAGTCCCCGAAATTTGTTATAACATCAACCTAGGAGTAAAAATGTATGATGTTGCCACGAGCAGTTGGAACTTTGGTTTCTCATTAGTTCAGGGTAACCAATCATCTGAATTATCCCGCTAAGTCAAAGAAACGCAAAGTGGGAAGAAAAAAATATAATCTTTAATACAGGAAATAAAAACTTTCTTCCAGTGAGTAAGAGAAATAAAGCTCATTTCGCTCAATTAAAAGTTCAGATTTAAAGTAGCACCGATAAGCAAAAATTTCTCCTCTTAATTAAAAAAAGTAAAAAAAGAGTTATTGTACTCGCGTTGTTTTACTTTCGGTAAAACTCATCCACTCATGTTGGATGTAATTTTATCAATCCAAATATCGCTTGTCCGATTGGTTTTTGAATAGAACAATCAGCTTCCGGTTAGAAATATGTCTTGTCTCTTTGGAGCATGACTTTTCCTTAAAAATAAATAATGTAATTTAGAAATCGCTATATTGTATGGTTGTTTGTTGTAATATGTAACTATAGTAATCAAACACTTTTCTTTATCCAATGTAATTCTTCAAAGTTTTATTCTTAAACACAGCAGAAGTAATCTTTTATGAATGACATGCAGTTAGGCATACACAAATAGTTTTTTTTCTGTATTGGATGTTTATTATTATTATTATTATTTAAATTCTGCCTGTTTTCGCTTCCTTGAACGAAGTACTGAAATCGTGAAAAACTTGGGGTATCATATTTCAATAGAAATATCCAATTGACCTTTCCTGAATACATTTGCACGATTTTTTGTGTGACAGTGTACGGACATAATAAAGGACTTTTTCCTAAACTGATTGTAAAATGGCTTCAAAAGGGATTTTTTTCGTGACGTCTGCACGTACCTACGTATGTATGTATGTGTCTCGAATACTCAGAAACGATTAGCCGTAGAACGTTGAAATTTTGTATATGGAAATGCTATAACATCTAGTTGTGCATCTCCCTTTGTTATTGCAATCGGCAAAACCAAACATGTGTGTGTATGTACCTACCCTCTTACCCGGCTTAAAAGTTCTTATTCGGCATTTATTTTCGCAATCATTGGTCGTAGTCATGTAATTTCAGTTACAGAAATGTTTTAAGTGACGAAAATATTTATTTTTTGGCAATGCCAATTTTAAAATATATATATATATTTATTTTGGACAAATAACGAAATCTAGCTTTTAATGCTTTCTCCCGGTTCCTGACATGTTTATACTCGTTATATTTAAAAAAAGAAAAAAAAAAAAAAAAAGAAAGAAAAGAAAGAACAAAATTATAAGAAATTTGACCCCATACCACAAAAGTTGACCGGAGATTTTTACTTTCAAAATTCAAAATTTTTAAAGTCATTATCAACTTACCTCGAGGAGTCGGCTAATTAAGTTAGAATAATTCGAAGAAATAAGTTTAAATGAAATGCAGCAAAAAATGCGTATAATTCAATAAATAGATCGTATAAGGAAGTCGTGGTGCCTAGATGAGATTTTTTTTAATGGTTATAGTTGCATATTTCCTACATTTTAACTTTTCATTTGCTTAACAATAATCAGTACTGTAAATTAGATTTTTTTTGTAATGTTTTTAATTATGTTAAACGCACAAACCACTAGAACCAACTACGTAGCCAGCCTATTCTACTGGGGTCGAGCTCCAGTATTCAGAGGTCTTAACCACTTGGCTGCTACACTAATAGGGCCAACCTTCTAGGGAAACAAAAACCGTTCCTTTTAGCGTGCTCGTTTGAGAATTCTCGAAATAGTCCTCTTCACTGTCTACTTGCTTTGATTTAAAAGGATTATTTAAAAAATATAAAACATTTCAACTGTTGCCATGTATTAAAGATGTCTGAATTAAAAACCAGCTGAAAAAATTTTCAATAAAATGAAGAAATATTAATGTCAAAGTGAACATGATTGATTATTTTTGCATACGAATTTCCATATAAATGAAATATTAATATGTGAAAAATAATTTTTGATATAATCTCGTTTTTATTTCATTTCAAAATATCTCTTATTTGCCATCCATATGTTGCCCATTTATACTTTTCTTTGAGGCAGGTTCTAGACATTTAGTATTTTCCTCCATTCTAATTGCTTCATTCAAAATTTAATAAACCAGCCGCCTAAAATAGTAATTATGGGGGGGAGGAAAGAAAAAGAAGAAAAATATAATGATTTTAATGAGTCCAGCTAGTATCATTTCATAAAAACATTTAATATTTCTAAACAGACATGTCATAGTTTAAATGCATTTTTCATTTAAATTAATCAGATTAAAAGGAAGAATAAATATTCTTAACAGTTCCGTTTATTTCTTAAAATCTGTTAAAAATTTTTACTCAGTAATAGACAAACTAATGAAAGTTAAATTATCTTTCGCTTAAACTGTATGCCAACATGTTGGCGCCATTCTTAAAGATTTTGTTTCCATCTAGCAGTTAAAAGTATTTTATTTCGTGCAGTATATAACAAGCAACAACTTGCTTTTAAATAGCCGAGTTTGTTGATTAAAATTGAAAGATTACATTACCTTATATTTTGCCGAATGGCAACAGTCTGGCGCGCTGGAGATAACATTGTTTTATTTCGAACAGTTTTGCCATTACTCGCTTCCAAATTGCTGCATTTATGAATCAAAAATTCATTCAATTCGCACAAAGAATCAAAAAGAGATTCCAAATTCCGACTTCGAGGTGACCATGTTCAGGAGGAGAACTACATGTGTTCAAAATTTGGTAGCTCTAGGTGTCGCTATTTTTCTGTAATCAAAATCTGCATTGCGAGGACCATGCAAACAAATTCTTCATTTTCTTTAATAGTAATAGGTTTAGTAGAAATAATGAAAGCTAATAAATGCCTATTTTCAAAGTCCATTGTTTTTTTTAATAGAAATAGCGTTTTATGCGTAAATGACGATATTCAGCATCTATTTACGAATTCTGATGGCTCAAATATAAATCTTGCTTACTCTCTAAATCATTAGTTTAGAATGTGAAATGTAACTTAATTCTTAAATTCGTTAACTTTTAAGTATCTTGTTTTACTTAATTTTTTTTTTAATCTTCAATCCAGTTTTCCTTTTATCTTCTTTTTCTTACTATTATTAACTTGCTTTATCTACTTTTCCTTGAGGATATACTGAAAACTCATTTTGTAAAGATAACAGCTCAGTTTTGTATTATAATCTATACTGTTAACATAAATGGTATCTTTTGTTTTAATGCCATATTACTGAGAAACTTTTCGTCGAGAATTGTCTGAATATATTCCTTAATAATGAGAAAAATGTAATTTTTCTTTAACAACGAAAAATAATTAATTCCCATGCACTGAGAGATAATTAATTCAATGATGAGGCATACTTAATTCTTCGATAATGAGAAATAATTAATTCTTCCCTAATGAGGTGGAAAAAAAATGGCTTCCGTCGGTGAATTAACAGAGCAGTCGTCTGCATGCAAATCGAGATACAATAAGTTCTCGAGTGTGACTGTGTTTTGAAACTTTATTCTTTAAGATTTAAGTTTTTAAATCTAAGAACGATTAATATATTTAAGAGAAGTTTCATGTTTAAGATATGGAACATTTCCAAATAAAAGATGTTTCCATTTCGTTTTATAACTGGTATCTTGTAGAAAACAAGTCACTAATGACTCTTGTAGAAAACAAGTCACTTGAATTATTAATACAAAATTGCATTCACATTTGATTCATAATTCGTACATTTTTCTTCTTGAGAAAACGAATTGATATACTTGTAGGCACAGGCCACAAATACTCAAAAATAATTATGGACATCTTTCATAATAATACAAATTTTAACATGAAAGCAGTGACGACTAGCTTCCTACCACGTAAGTATAAAATAAGTAACGCAGCAGTGACAAGAGTAAAATCATAATAATAGTAATAACATACCACTACTTAAAATAAATTATTCCAAGCCTAAGATTAAAGTATAATCATCTTGGTATTGGTCTATTCAGGCTCATATCTCGTCGAGCGGGCTGGTTGTATAACGAAAATATGAGCAGTTTCTTGAAAGTTTAATTTTACATTTTTTTATTGCTTGAAACTTTTATGATGTTTCGATTTTGAAAGATTTATCTTTTATTTATTTAATTCAACTATTTTTTGTTTGTTTAACTGACATAAAACTGAATTTGCCATCTAAAATGTCCTATAATTAAAAATCTTCTAATTTTGGTTGGCGTGTGGCATCGGTGGGTCTGTGTAACTAATTCTTTGCTAACTAAACTAACTAAGCCTGCTCAGAGTGACATCAAATATTCAACAAAACTTTATTTGTTCACTATTGGTGAGTTATAGCTAAAGTTAAAATGTACAACTCAGAAAAGTCGAGTAACTTTTCGATAGTAACATTAATACATTTGGCAGACTATCTCGTATTATTGGAACTAGCAAGAATAACTAATGATTTAAAGTCATTTACCAACGTGAATGGGAAATACTGAGGGTCTCCTGCAATTTTAGATTAGTGCTAAGTTTTTTAAACGTTAAGTTTTTGACTAGGCGGATATTCATTCCATTAAAGCAGGAGTTGCAGTTAAAACATCTAACTTTTAAATTATCCTTTTAGTGCTCTTCATTTGCTGTATTTTCCAAAATGAATTGTAAAATGGATACAGAGGAGAGTTTTTCGTGACGTCTGTACGTACATACCTATGTATGTATCTCACCTAACTCAAAAATAACCGTAGAACGTTATAATATTGTATATGGGACTGCTATAACGTGTAGTTGTGCAACTCCCTTTTTCCTTATATAGATACCCATTCTCCTACCTGATTCCGTGAGCTCAAATTTTTTTATTCTTGTATGTTGG